AATGTTCCTTTCATGAAAGATTTCTCTGTAACATGCAATGCTGTTTGATGGCATTTTACTCATTGTAGAACTTCTTTCAAAATTGGAATTGGTCCTCTCAAATCCTGCCAGTGTTTTATCAACTATGTTTATGGAATATTCCAAATCCTTTTTTGTAATTTCAACAGTGTACACAGTGTCTTCACCAGGAGTAGGTTCCATCTCAAGAAACTACTTTCTTTGCTTATCTGTAAGAAGCAACTCCTCATATGATCAAGTTTTAGCATGAGATTGCAACAATTCATTCACATCTTCATGCTCCATTTCTAATTCTAGTTTTCTCAGCACATCTGCAGTAACTTCATCTACTGAAATCTTGAACCCCTTAAAGTCATCTAGAAGGGTTGAAATCAACTTCTTTCTAACTCCTGTTAATGTTGATATTTTGACTTTGTCCTATGAATTACAGTTTTTAATGGCATCTAAAATGATGAATCCTTTCAAGGAGGGTTTCAATAGATTTTGCCAGGATCTTATCAGAGGAATCACTACCTGTGGCAGCTATAACATTATAAAATGTATTTCTTAAATAATAAGACTTGAAAGTCAAAATGACTCCTTGATCCATGGGTTACAGAATGGATTTTGTGTTACACAGCATGAAAACAATGTTCATCTTCTTGTGTATCTCCGATAGTGCTTTTGGGTGATTAGTAGCATTGTCAATCAGCAGTAATATTTTGAAAGGAACCTTTTTTTTCTGAGCAGGAGATCTCAACAGTGGACTTAAAATATTCAGTAAACTATGCTGTAAACAGATTTGCTGTTATTTAGGTTTTGTTGTTTCATTTATAGAGCACAGGCAGAGTAGATTTAGCATAAATCTTAAGGGCCCCAGGATTTTCAGAGTAAGTGTACGCTGGCTTCAACCTAAAGTCACCAGCTGCAATAGCCCCTAACAGGAGACCCAGCCAGTCCTTTGAAGCTTTGAAGCCAGACATTGACTTCTCTTCTCTAGCTATGAAAGTCTCAGATGGTATATTCTTCCCATAGAGGGCTATTTTGTCTACATTGAAAATCTGTTGTTTAGTGTAGCCACTTTGATCAATGATCTTAGCTACATCTTGTGGATATCTTACTGCAGCTCCTACATCAGCACTTGCTGCTTCACCTTGTACTTTTAAGTTATGGAGATGGTTTTTTTCCTTAAACCTCATGAACCAACTTCTAGCTTCAAACTTTTCTTCTGTAGCTTCCTCCCCTCTCTAAGCCTTCAAAGGATTGAAGAGAATTAGCGCTTTGCTCCAAATGAGGATTTGGTTTAAAGGAATGTTGTGGCTGGTTTGATCTTCTATCCAGACCACTAAAACTTTAAGTAGGAGTGTTCAAGGAGAGGGAGAGAAATAATGGAATAGTTGGTTAGTGGAGTAGTCAGAATACATACACCATTTTATTACATTTGCTGTCTTACATGGGTGCTGTTTGTGACACCTCAAAATTATTACAATGGTAACATTAAAAATCACTGATCACAGATCACCATAACAGATATAATAGTAATGAAAGAGTTTGGAATATTGTGATAATTATCCAAATATGATACAGAGACATGAAGTAAGCATATGCCTTGGGGAAAATGGTGTTGATGAAGTTGGTGGATGAATCTCCAATTTGTAAAAAATGTAATATTTGTGAAGCACAGATATGCCTATAGTTTGATGGCATGCCTATAATTTGGTGGGTGTGGCTGGGAAGAGAGGCTACAAAGAAACCCAAAATAATTTTGTCTAACCCAAATCTTGATCAAGTATGACACCTAGAGGCTGCACAAACAGAATTCCTTTGGGTAATTTTTTTTCCTGTTTAGGATGCAAGATACATTTATGTGAAGACATTTCTTTAAAGTTTTATTTCAAAATAGACATCCTTAGATGTCCCTATGTAACACTATCAGTAAATACATTTATATTTCTTCATTTATTTATTATAATTATAAAAACTGATGATGTTAAAAATTGTTTCCTTTTCCATAAAGTAATTGAATTTTTATCACTGCTTTTAAGTGTTGGTACTAATCACTGAAAGTCATTGTCATAAGTCTTATCAGTCATGATATATGTTTATATGCATATATCCTAATAAAAGAGAGCACCCATATATATATATATAGATATGTATACATTCTCACTCTGTGGAGTTTAGAAATGATAGCAAAAATAATAAAGGCATATTAAAGATACCTAGCACATGAGAGATGATATAATAGGTTTAGAATTGTCTCATTTCTAAATATTTAAAAAAATATGCTTTGCATTTGTCATCCACTGGTTTGGAAAACTTTTATTGCCCTGGCTCATTAATACTTGAATAGTTCTTCATGAAAAATGATGAATGACTGACTTCATGGCAGGCTGTACAGATGGCCAATTTAATCTGTATACTTGAGACTTCTCGTGACTAAATTTTGACATCATGTCATTAAACATTTGTCTATTATTTATATCATATTCTAGAAAACAAAGATTGCTACATCTTGCCATCTCTTGCCATCTATCAGTTTTATTGGTAGGATTTATCCAACTGGACACTATACCCTTCACAAAGGAACATGTATCTGAATATATGGATCACTCTTGTCTCCTTAGAGACCCATACATTTTTGTTCTTAAGTGAAATAATGACGTTATTATGAACAAATAGTTGGCACTGGTGCAGACAAATGTTTGTATGACTTGGATTCTGTAACCTTGTTCAGAGATGTCTTCACTACTACAGACCAGTTGTGTGTGCGCTTGTGCATGTGTGTGACCTCCTACGCCTTGTATAAATTTGAAATTAAAAGAAGAAAACTAATTGCTGGCTATTTCCAAATCTTGCTGAAAAACAGGTCACCCTAGTTGTGTATTTTTAATGGCAGTAAATTTTGACTTAGAAGTTGACCCTATATAATGCTTGAATATGTAGCTATAATATTTAAACTCTTGACAATTGAGTAATTATTATATCACCATGGATAAATACAAAGATCAGAATCTTAAATTTTCTTTTGACATTAAGCCATTAAGTATACATCTGATGGCTTTTTGAAGGGCTAGATAATTACCCTGAATGTTAACTTGACTCCTCAGAGTCTCTGTCCTCTGTTATATAATAAATTTACACTTGGCCAATTGATTTGGTGCTTCCCAAGAATGCTTAGTATGGATTATTATTAACAGAGTACTTCCAGTTTGAAAACCTCTCTGTGCCACAGTTTGAGATTTCTGGGTTTAGGGTACTAACAATAGCGGAGAAAAATAAACAGACAGGATAGGAAACACTTCTTTTTAGAGTGGACAAGGAAGTTTTTTCCCTGAGAGCACAGAACCAAGGAAGTAATAGCAGGTCCCATTTTCTTTTGTGATATAAAGAAGTGCTCCTTCAGGGGGCCATACATTAGTTAGGATCAGGCTTCCTTTGTATTCCTTATCAACCTATAATCTTTCGATTGTTGCCTGTTTTTCAACAGTGAAGAAATAGTAATCCACACTAGTTTATCTCTGCTAATCACAGACTCACATAGCTAGGGCTCTCTGAGCTTTTAATTCCCTCTTAGAGGCCTAACAGAGTGGAAAGTAAACAAAGACCAAATTTGCAACCTTCAACGTAGCTAATTTCCTCTGATGTCAGAATACTTAAACAGGCAGGACCTGGGAATTATTTGATCAAACCTGCTTTTAATCTAATGCATGCAGAAGGGCTGCGTCTGGAAGGCTCTGCAAAATGACAAGTGTCCCACGGGAGACTTATAGAAGGTTTCCTCTTTCAGAAACAGTAGCTTCCTCATTTTGAAGTCTTGGTTTGCTGCATTGCTGGAGTAAAATTCATAAGAAGTAGTTTTCCTGCATTTTTAATTTTATTTTATTTGGCTGAAAATTGGTGACAGGATGGGAATAGTTTTCTTTGGCCTTCTCTTTGCTGAGTTCTTAATTGGCTAAATGCCCTGATCCTATTTTAGCTTTACTAGGAAATGAATTAATAATAAAATATTTTCATTGGGAGAAAGGGAGAAAAAGAAAGGGTAAAGCATTATCTGACTTCACACACATTTTTCTATTACTACCAGTGTAAGAAAGTGAAAACACAAAGAACAAAAGACACAAGCCATGTGGTTCCTTATTTAGATTATGCATTTTTCTGGTAGTAAGAATTAAGATGAATTAGTGTCAGGGATATTTTAAAGAAATAATTCAGAGATATACAAACAGTGTTACTGACTCAGTTTGTCCTTTAATTTTACTCACAACTGTCTGGATACTTAAAAGTAGCATATTTTTGGCAAAGAGTAAGTAAAGGGATAGAACTTCATACCTGCAATATAATTTTAATTTTAAGATTCGTTTTGTAAAATTTTATCTATGTAATTAGATAGCACTGTGAATACTTATTAAATTCTAATTCAGTTTTAAAGACTATTGAAATACAATGGACCTTAATTTGTTACAGAAGATCAACATTTCTCACATCTTTATTGAGAATGTATTACTAAGTTAAAAACAACATTTAAAAAAAACGTTTAAGTGCATTTTGACAAGTGCACATCTCTGCTGTCTTATGCTTTTCACAACTGATCACAAACACTGTTCCCCACATAGAGTAATTTTAAAGCCAATAGCTTAAAAATAAATTATAAACCCTGATGCTTTGTGTAAATATGCACTAAGAATAACATGCCACTAGATCTAGCATTTGACTCCTCGAGTGACAATGAATATCAATGCCTGTTATTTGTCAACCTGCTGGGGTGATGATTCTTTTTACTGGTGTATCCTTCCAAACATATTTCACCGCGCCATGTGCGCCAGAGTTTTTTAGGCAGGTATGTCGGAGCTGGGTGTCGCCCGGCTGCCCCCTCTCCCCTGTGCTTGCTCCCTCTCTCGCCCTCGCGCTCTCGCCTCCCCCTGCCTCCAGCCCCCTCCAGCTCCTTTGGGCTCACGCCCCCCTCCTCCCGCTCCAGCTGGCGAGGCTGCGCTGCCTCCCAGACCTCGCGGACCTGCTCAGTCAGCTGGGGCCCCCTGCGGACGGCCGCCTCCCGAGCCTCCGGGACCTGCCATTCTGCGCGCGATGGCAGCGGCGGCAGCATCCCCGCCGGCGGCGGCTGCGGCGGCCACGGCCACCGCGGACGCTATTGTTCCCTGGTGTTAGACGCGCTCTCCCTCCTTCTCGTCTGAAGCAAACAATAGCAGGAAAGAGCTCTGCTTTTCGCACTCTTTGGGAAGACGTTCCAAGAGCGAAGAAAAATTCCCCGCCGCTGAGCGCGCCGCGGACCTGGGCCCCGGAGCGGCTGCGGGCGGCATGGGGCTGCAAGCGGAGCGCTCGGCGCCCGGGAGCCGGGGCGCTGCGGGGCCGCGCCGGGGCGTCCTGCCGCTGCCGCTGCCGCTGCTGCCGCTGCTCCTGCTGCTGCTGCGCCCGGGCGCCGGCGGGGCCGCGGCGCAGGGCGAGGCGGAGGCGCCCAGCCTGTACCTCTGGAAGACTGGTAAGTGGGACGGAGTTCCCCCTTCTTCCCATCTTCACGTCTGGGGCCACTTTAAGGAAGCTGATGGGCTTCTGAAGGGACCCCCGGTGCTGCTTGACGGCCCGATTGTGCTGGGATCCTACGGTAAAAAAAGTATGACTCCTCGGAAGCAAATAGGTCATGTCCGATGCTACTGGGAAGGAAAAGCGTAACAACTAAGAGGCAACAGCGTGAGTCACGGGAATGATCTTTCTCTCGCAGCTCCGTAGTTAATGAGGGCAGCGCTGCACTTCCATAATGAGGTGCAATATTTTTAACCTCTGGATTCTCGTTCTGCTGGGAGTTTCTAAAACATATACTTCTGCCAAAGAGCAAGCACACAGTTTAGCGCCGGTCTTTATTCTATCTTTAGGCAAGCGTTATGCTCGCTGCCACGGTATTTGCGAATACAGAGTTGAATTTAAGTTTAGCTTTGTGATATGTGGGACACTCTGCAAACAAGTCAAGTGAGGGCAATTCTAACAGTCACAGGCAAAGGGGGCTCCAGTGAGCCCGCCCGGGAAGATTATGTAAAGCTCAATTCTTAACGAGTGAATTGTGGGGTTTTAAAAGTGTACATCTGTTAGGATATTTGGGTTTAAACTTTCCTTGCTTCCTTGAGAATTCTTTTGCTTTGTTCTTCAGTCACCCAACAAAACCAGCAACTAAGTGCTCCTCAGTACCTTCCGGCAAAGTGCTTAGTGGTCCGGGAGGGGCAGTGACAGGCAGGAAAACAATACCAAGACCCTCTCCTGCCAGAACGCTTTCTCTGTCCCCTAAAGGGGGACGCACAGAAGTCCTCAACAGACGTGAAACTTCACATGTTCATAGGAATAAAGTGGGAAAAGATGATTCCTCTTGCTTAGAGCTAGGGATAATTTAAGAATATCTTGGTCATTCCTAAACATAAGGGAAGGATATAGTAGAAAGGGAAAGTATGTATTCATCATAGGATTGCAAACAAGTTTCAGAGCGTGGGTCTCTTTCCTGGCTTTATCTCATCTCTGCCCTCTGCTGAGGAGACAGATCAATCGACTTTACAGTTGCACTGATATCCTGAATTTTTAAAGAAGTTGCATCTATCCAGCAACTTAGTGAGAAGAATAAACAGAAATTATTTAAAGCCAGAATACTTAATTTGCCTGAAAATATTGCATGAAGTGTGCGCGTGCGCACACACACACATCACACACATACTTAGAAAAGCAAAATCATTCTTGCTAACATTAAATTTTGGTTGATTAATGAATGCAGATAAAATCTAATTTATTTCAATTTAAAACGAAGAGTTGAAGATCGTCTCTAATTTAGCCAAACCATAATTTTACTTTTCAAAAGCTCATTCTTAATTGGGTAGTGATAAACACTACCCAACTATAATTTACCTTTAAATGGTATTATTTGGATGCCTGGTAAGAGCTTCCTAGATAAGTCAGTGTTGGACAACATAGTATTATATTTGCCTAGGTGAAATTTGTACTACCAAAGTCACAAAAGCCAAGCAGTGATTTAGATGGAAAAGAGCCTCGGCAACATTCACTGTGCGACATCTGAGATGCCAATATGTGGCAACGTAAATGTCATGGTGGTGGGAACACAAGCCAATAAACAGCTTAAAATAGTGGAATGCTCTCAGGAGCAAGGTTTTGGAGACCTTGCTTCTAACTCTTGCTGGCTATAGGAACCTTGGCTTAACTTCTGACACTCAGTTTTGTCAACTGCATGCAAATGTGATGATACCTTCTTGTGACTATGCACAGTGTTGTGAAAATCAAATGAGTGAGTTACCAGGAAGTATTTGATAAACTTTAAAGTTATGGGCAAATATGAGCTTGTGTGATGAGGATGATAATAATACCATTTTTTATGGTGATCCTTGGTTTGGTGAACAAAATAGTGAATTAAATTGGAGAGCAAGATAATGACCTCTTTATAATATTTCTTTCTAGAGGCAAAAGAGACTTTACCATATCTATAAAGAAGTTGAGAGTGGTTCTCAGAAGAACTAGGGAATATTTTTTTTAAAAAAATGATATATTGCAAATGAAAATCTAGAAGTGACAGAATCATGAGTGTTTATCACTTGATGAAAATAAAGAGGCAGGAAAGGAATTGGAAGAGAAAAGATGAGAGACCCTCCAGGATGTCTATGCCGATATGCTAAGAGACTGGTCTTGGTACAGAAGATTACAAGGGATCACTGAATTAAAATAGTGTAGTGAAAGTTACACTGGATGAAGGGTTGGGATAGGAACTCTAACTGTGTATGTTACTAACATGTTATAGAATTTTGATAAAATAATGAGTTTGGTTCTTGTTTCCTGTTTTGTAATATTTTGTGAATAGAAAAGATTGTATCTAAGGGCCTTTTCAACTCTAAAGTGCTTCACATGTATGAATAAATAAGCAAATGCATAATAAATATGCATATATACACAAATATAGTGTATATACAGTTGATCATTGAATAATATGAGGGTTAGGAGTCCTGATAAATCTACATATAACTTTCGATTTTCCAAAATCTTAATTACTAATAGCCTACTGTTAACTGGAAGCCTTACCGATAACATAAAGTTGATTAACACATATTTGTATGTTATATGTGTTATATACTGTATTCTTACAATAAAGTAAGCTAGAGAGAAGAAAATGTCATTAAGAAAATTATAAGGAAGAGAAAATATATTTAATATTCATTATTATCCTCCTAGTCTTCACATTGAATAAGCTGAGGACAAGGAGGAAGAGGACAGATAGGTGTTGCTGTCTCAGGGGTGACAGAGGCAGAAGAAAATCCCATATAAGTGGACCTGTGCAGTTCAAACCATGTTGTTAAAGTGTCCGCTGTGTATATGTGTATACACATATAGCACATACATGTATACACATAATATATATGCTTTGTAATACATGATATATAATGAAAGCTTTATTAAGTCAACTCACAACAAAGAGTAACTGAGGACCTACAATATGCAGTCACTGTGATAGAGGCTGAATGAGATATTGCCATCCCTGCCCTCAAAAAACTCACAGTTGAACAATGCTATAAATATACCACAATTACAACATGGCATACCATATACATGAACAGAACACTATGAGAAACACTTAAATACATATATAGTCATAATATTCATTGGATGTTGGGCGGGGGGTGGGAAGGGGAAGGGCACATACACACGTAATGAGTGCGATGCTCACCGTCTGGGGGATGGACACACTTGAAGCTCTGACTTGGGTGGGGCAAGAGCAATATACATAACCCAAACATTTGTACTCCCATAATATGCTGAAATAAAAAAAAAATTGAAAAAAACACTATGAGAGCAAAGAGGTTATACAGCTGATAATTAATATTAATATTTGATCTGGATCTTGAAAGATGAATTGGATTTTTACTAAGAGAGGAGTGGAAGGCCATTCTAAGCAGAGGGAAGAGAGAAAGTAATATTGAAAAGGCATGACAGCATTCCTAGATTCTGAAAGTACCTGTAGTAACACTGTAGCTCAAGCCCAGGATGATTGGTAGGAATGAAAAGATTTAATGCCAGTGAGGTGAGTTGGGACCAGATTATAAATTAACTTTCAAACTATGGTAAAGATTTAACCTATAAACAGTTGATAGCCATTGGGAACTTTGAGCAGAAGAGTAAAATATTGTTTGCTTACAATGGAAAGAGATGAATCTAGAGGCTGTAAGGTCAGTAAGATGAATAACTTATGAAAGACAAAAGTGAACAGAACTAGGACCATAGACTTTACAGTAGAGAGTAATTAGAGAAGGGATTGAAGTCACATTGCTGAAGTGTTAGTTCAGGTCTGGATACAGTAAACACAGTGTCTTCCAAGAAAAATAGTAGTCAATGCCATCAAGATCTCCATCACGCCTATACCCAATAATTGAGGTAGAACAGAAGGAAGGTATAAAAGAAGGAAGAACAGATTTCTTAAGGTTATAAAAAAGAATATCAATGTAAACTGAACTTGAGGTAGCCATGATCTCCTCAGATCAATGTATCTAATAGGAAAATTAGTAAATGGGTAACTGGTCTTAGAGAAAGAATTAGACTGAAGGTGTAAGCTTAGAACTCAATAAATATATGGTATTTCAAGGCATAGGAGTGGGAGAAATCATTAAAGAAAGGAAAATATTGAAAAGAGGAGCCGGGATACTTCACAGAGAATATTGATATTTAAAGTGCAGCAACAGGGGAGAAACTAGTGAAAGAGGCTAAGAAAGTATGGTCAAAAAGGTCCAAGGAAAATAGCAGAAGTCACTAAATGGAAGAAGGTATTTCATGAAGGGGATGATGGCAAAAATGTATAAAAAATTTAGAAAGGCTAGGAAAATGATAATAAACTATTTCAGAAAATATCAAGTATGATGAGGAATTGGTAAGATAATTAACTGTCTTGGGAAAGGACATTTTAGATAAAGTGGTAGAGATATAAACTTGATTGAATAATAAACCACATAATGGAAAAGAGATAATGTCGATAAAGTAGAATAACCAAATGGTATGTAAGTCTCTCTACTACACTGTTGTTTTGTAATAAAGAAAAGCCCCAGATTTAAGATATTGAAAAGTATTTGTTAAAATATAAAAGTTATATTTCCTATAGTTTTGTATCACAGTCATTTGAAAGGTAACTTTGTATGAATAATCAGAAAACATAATTCATATACACAGAGGTATGATACTTATATTATTGGAAGATGAATAACTGCTGTTACTGATAAGTGTTATTTTGCCCTTTTTATTATTCTAGCATATGATATTGTTTCTATAATAGTTAGGGTTAATTATAGTCACCTGGCAATTCCAAATTATGAATGTCAATGGGTTGAGCAAAATGTGATTGACTTAGCATTAGTCAGACAAAAAAATATTGAATACATTAACTTTTATCAGCTTTTGTCATAGAGATATATGTTTAAAAATGTCTTAATGAGGTAATTGAATTTATTTTTATAT